AAAATAATTTGTTTAGAAAGGTTTTAAATAAAGTTGTCTGTAATTTTTTTTATTCATTTGTCTGTTGTAGTCATTCCTTATTTGTAACAGGCGATAGTTATTTATTATACAAGACGATAAAGAAATTGTTTATCTWCAAGTGAAAAGGTTAAGTTTACGAGTGACGAAGTCACGAGTGGACTTTTTTTACGAGTATATAAACAGTCTTTATCGTCGTYTATAATATTTCGTTTTATTTTGTACTCATCTACCAAAATTTCTTGAATATAAACAGTAGATAAAAATTACTTTCTTTCACTAGACGATAAAAGACTACTTTGTCTATTGAAATTAGTTGATAAAAGCACTCTTTAACATTAAGTACAAATTATAAAAAACGCCCCAAGCCATAACTCCATTATCTTTAAGGTAATGATAATGCAATCATTATACAATGTGTATAAATTACTAAAGACTGTTTTTTTTTTAAATGGAAATGCCAAACAGTCTTAACGTTGGCACCACTAGTAAATTCATTCGTGGTAATTTTAATAAAGGAAGTTGGCAGTTCCGGTTTTTTGAATTAATTTGAAAARAGTGTCATTAAACGTCAACACAAAAAATCGTCTAAGGAAATTTAGAGASGAAACACCAAAAAAGGAACAAATTCGGTACCGCTAACAGTTTTGACAAATTTGGAAACGAATAGTTCGCAAGCAGGAAGTTAGAAAAAGGGCCCATTAAAATGTAGAAGCGATTTGTAATGCAGGTTTGCTAAACATTCTCAATTTTTAGCAAGAAATTACACAAAATTTATTGCCGATCATCATAATACCCACTAGTATCTTTTGCTAAATAACTTTTTTCTGTGTAAACATCTTTTTTCTTCAAAGTTTTTGTAGCAAGAARCTCATTTTTGTCCACAACATTGTACTTACTTGCGGTGTGTTTCTATCAAAATTATTAGCACTGAATTCGGTTTTTAGACCTTAGGTAATSATGTCTGACCTCAGGTATTCAATTATAGCGCTTTCAAAGAGCAAACAGGCACAGAAGATTCATGAAAGTCAAAATTTTGACAACATCTCAATTTGAAAACATAACCATAATTTTTTAACAAAATTTCTAGGGACAAAAACAAAGAGCAATCAAAATTTGTGGCTATGGAGAAAAGCTGCTACCAATTTTTTCACCAAAATTTTGACTTGGTAATTTCCATTTAAAAAAAAACAGACTTTAGCTTTATCTCTAAAAAAAAAGATACGACAATACTATACTTATAATTATTTGYACTTGGAAAATTATTTTTCCAACAAATAAATAGTCAAAGTGCAAAATTTAAACTCTTATAACTTCGAAATTTTTATAGATATATTTTTTTAAACATTTTTCTTGTTGTCTAGGGCACCGCGCCTCCCAAAAAAATCCTCATAATAAACTGTTCAACAAATCAAAGAAGTACATATTGTCATATCTTTAAAAATAAATAAGATGATGACTTGAGCCGTGTTTTATAATCCAACCTGTCTAAGATTTGATATTAAAATATCTTCATTGTCTAACAGTATGTTGCAAAAAAATCTGCCTACATTTTTTTATACAATGAATGTGTGAAATAACAGATTTTTATATTTTTTTTCGTGGAAAATGAGTGTCAAGTTTTATTCACACTTCGAAAACCCCTTTTTACAAAAATTACGACCGACTAGCTCAGTTCCAGAGGTGAAAAATTTTAAATATCTGCAACAGCAATGGTCACGACTCGTGAGCCGATATTATTGATATTATTAGGAGTACAAATACCAAAAATTTTAAGTAACCACTAGAGCTCTTTTGTGTTTTAATGAGAAAAAAAGTGCTTCAATATCACTACACTAATTAAAAATAAATGACATAAAAAATTAATTAGGCACTTTGATGCACTTTGTCAAAATATAATTAGGTACAAGTAAAATTAAATTATAATTAAGTGAAAAAACCAACTGTATAGTGCTATTCAATATAGAGTTTTCGCGAAAATTTTATGTTATCCAACACAAAATACATAAAGCATATTTAAAAGTCAAAATGACATTTTGTCTTCTATTATGTATAAGCTTATAAAAAATATTGGAAGAAATCAAACAACAAAACAACAAAAAGTTTAGAAACAGGAAACTTTGATTTTAARTATAAAACGACAGAAATTGAAAAAAAGAATGTAAAAAGTTTGAGKACTGCCTTCCTTCAGCATCAATTTTGTATAAAAAGGATCGGTGCACTCGTCGCAGATCAGATCTAAAAAAGATACATTTTCTTTTCTTCTTGTAAYCTCAATCCGGAGACATACTGTATATTCTACATTCTAAATATTTTTATAAAAATTGAAACACAACTTATAGAGTTTAATCTTTTTGAATCGTTTTTACCAATTTTGAAAGCCAAATCAAAGCCATTTTCTCTAGTGTGACACCTTGCTTGATACGCTTTTGATACAAAACCTATCACTCGTGTTTTCTCCGTTTCAATTGTTTTCACATATTTATGGGTCATTGAAACGTTTCATTGACGATTTTTTTTATCTCAAAAAACTGGAACGTGATTTACATTGCACAATAAATCCACCGATTTGAATACAAAATTCATTTTATCTCGTATTATTTTCTCGASTCCCGTAAATGTGATGCAATTAAACGRGAATGGAAAATGAGGTGTTTGAGATGGGCTTGGCTTTGATGATAATGATTCGTGTAATATTTAGAGAAACTCGATTTTACTTGAAATTTTTTACCACGAACATCTCATCCGTTGCAAATCACCACCTTGCGTCCCAGTAATTTAGCGCAAATATTCAAACTTCCCTATTTGAATAGCAAATAGTAGAGGAAGTGTGGAAAAAAGACGAAATAGCTCAACAACAATGTACAGGGAGTGGTAAAAGCCGACATTATCCGACACTCTGAAATGTGCTAAACATATCTGTAATAAGAAATCATTCAAATAACGTCGAGACGCATTGTATGCAAACCCAAATCCCAAGAGATTCCAGTGATTAATCCCAATTTACGTTCATTGTTTAACCAAATATTTACACAGTGATTGCACAGATTCCTTAATAAATTTTGGTAGGCATAGTTACGATCTTATCAATATTTGATTAACATTGACGTCCTTCTGAGTCAATGACGCTCCACTTGCAGTCCTGCATCTGCCACCAATTAATCCACTTTCCGTGAATTTTCCCAACTTTCATCCCAGTAATTAACSTCAGGTAACTTTTGGTTACTTGGAAAGGGAAATTCGTGAGCCCCACCAGTGCAGTAGTTGAGTTGTGAGCGAGCGTTCGAGTTGTATCAAGTAAACCTGAAACGCTCAGGTGTGCGGTTGTTTATGTTATTTTAATAGATACACAGTGTTGCAAGAAAATATTTTTATGTGTGTGTCCTCGGGGGTAAATATTTGTTTACACTATTTGATAACAAGGCAGTTTATTGAAATTTTCAACTGTTATCTAATAATTTTGTAATTGAGTCCAGTTATTTGCTCGTGTGACTGAACATTATGAATTTAAGATTTGTTTAATTGCTTTTAAATTAATCATTGGTTAATTAGTGTTGCAATTTTTGCGAATTGAGGGCCAGTAAAATGAGGAAGTTTAATTTAATAACTTGTAAATATGTTATCACAGATATAAATCAAGAGTGACAGTTTACAAACACGTTATATATTTTTGACCAAAGTTAATTGTGCTAAATGAAGTCTTTTTATGGAGAGAAATCGTCGAGAACAATAAAGGAATTTATATTCCCCGGATAGCTTTCAAAAATTGCGATCAAACGGCTAACATTATTTTTAAATAGCTGAGATAGAAACAAATTAAATGCTCGGATAAGATCGGAAAAATCATCTCCATAATAAGGAAGTGCATTCTGCGGAATGATTGATAATCTCTAATCACACCTAACTGTCAGTTCTTTTATTTAATTTTTATTCAAAGCACATTTTTTAATAATCCTTTTGACCGGATACATGCCATCGTGCATTCGTTGTGATTTGTGATCCGACAACGGAAAAGCGGTTGACATTTCACATATCAACATCATACTATTAATAACGGAAAAAATCCAACTAATTGTAGCAATAACGAAACAATAGGCTAATTGCGATAGTCGCTGTATTGTTATGAAATATTTTTCGGTTTTGATTGTTGATGAAAGTGGAGAAATTTAAATAAGCACATCTAGAAAGTAATACATGGCTTAAGTGTCAAATGGTTCGTGTATTATCAACAGTAAGTGAAGTAGAAATGTAGAAAGGCTCGAGTTGTCGTTTGCAATTGAAGATGTTTCAAAAGATTTTGCAATTGAATATCAAAGAAGAGGTCGGTTTGACCTTTCCAATAGATAATTATTTGTTTTTTTATTTGAAGTCGAATTGTTTATTTTGCCGGTTTCACAGTCTCACAGTTTTTAAAAAAGCGTGGTGTTTTCAATTGTACTTCATTTCCTCTGTAACTCTGAAAATTCTTCAGTAATTAAGAGTTATATAACTGCTTAGAACCGTGTCTTTTAATTTCTGATACGTACTAATGAAAATATGATCATTATAGGGAGATAAYCGCTTCTTCTTTCTTTTTGTTTCTTCATTTTATTGTCTCTTAGCGTTTTATTTGTATCCAAAAATAGTATTTATTATAAGCTGCTATTTTAATAACGTATATCATTTTATAACTGCTTATTAATTATATGATAAATATTAAGCGAGGAGAATTTATATGAGACATTTTGTACTATTTTYGCCAATATGTATGTATTTATTATTGCACACTAGTGGGTAAAGTAAATGAAACAGTAACCACTTCACCTTCCTCATCTGAAATTTCCCCTCTAAATTGTTTTCAGTTAAAGTATTAAAAAAAAATATTGAATTAAAGCAGCTGGTGGACAAAAAATCTAATATATAACTTCATTTATTGTAGAGTCAAATATGTTTTTTCGTCAATTTATAATTTTTTCAAATGGTACCACTGATGAGATATCTAAAGGAAAGTAAGATCTCTTTTTGTGAACTCATTTTATTAGTTGAGTGAACAGGATAGAGGAAAATTGTATTTTTTTTAAAACAGCTAAACCTATCTGAACGACTGAAAAGAATTAAAAATCTTAAGTTGTTTTTTCAACTCACAAACTTTACCTTGTGGTAAAATTGTCATCTTTAGCTACGGTGTTTAATCCCAAATTATCCAACGACTTTTAAAAAATTCGTAAAATTATTTCAAACATATCAAATGTTCTAAATTATTTGATAGACCAACGAAACCAAACTTATTGACCAGTTTCTATGTGAAAGACTGTTTTCATCATTTTTTGAACTGTGGAATTTCTAAAATCGCTATCAGACGAAATATTTCCGCCACTAAATGAATCTCGGCTTCCTTTTTGTTCAATGAATTCATTTAACCTTCTTAATTCATCTAATGAGATTGTTTTTGCGATTTTGCATAATGGCACGCCTAATTTGAAATTTAATTGTTCATTTAAATATTTAACTACTCTCACATTAATATTTTTATTTTTGACGTAAATGGAACTACCTTTCATCAGTCGATTGGTTTTGGGCTTTAATTCGATTCTGATAATTATGAAATATTCTAACGGACCTTGATTTGCCGTTACGTGCATAAATTTTGAAACCATAAGGACTTGATGATAGTAATCTTAAGAAAAGCGAATTTTTTACCGGTAATAAATAATAAGGTGTGAAGAATTGCGCATTATCGATGATAAATATGGAGACAACGGAAATTCATTCTGGATTCGACTCACACTTAATCGATTCTATTATTAATTCATTTTGCAGTCCACCAAAATGGTTTTATGTTTACTTTTTGCGTTTGAACTACAACCATTTGCATAAGTGCCTAAAAATTAAGAACAGTTAGGTGCGACTTTGACTAACGTTACTTAGCTGGTGTTAAAACCTTGCCGATTTTATCGATATTAATCGAGCCACTTTTCAAAACATTGCAGAACCTCTCTGTATTCATTGGTGGCAAAATTAATTCGGAATTTGTGTAATTTAACCGTCACGGTAATGCAGCAAGTAGACTAGTTCCATGTTACAGCAAGTGCTAAATCTTTGGCCGGAGATAAATAATCGTTGCGGGCGTGCCCTTGAAATACCATCACATCCAACATTATTGCATAGTGAATGTAATTTTCCAGTTAGATTTTAAATTCCTGCATGCGACAGGAATGAAATTTCGAAAAATTCATAAACTGCTTTGTTGTTTTATGGTGCAATGGGAGTAACGAATCATTTTCAGAACTGATCGTTGCAAAACGTCATTACGAAAGTATTGTATGTGTYTGTGTGGAAAAATGTCGATGTGAAATGTTCGATAGTTGTCAGACGATAAATGCCGTACCTAAGTGTACGGAAGTGGCCGAAAAACTCGTGCAATTATTCGGGTGGAGGCAGACTTATAACGTCGAAAAACTACAAAGGAATGTACCAGGAAGAGCAACGACGAGGATTTCCATTACTAGGTCTTCGCTGAGTCGCGAAAAGTGCAAAGAGGTAGAGTTTTGCCCAGTTTTGCGCTAACTGTATTTGGAATTTTTTGAAATTAAATCGACCGACATACGGGATCGTTCACTTGTTTGTATGTGGAAATGCAGATATAAAATAGTTTATTTGGTGTTTAAGTCACAAGCTTTTGTTTTTGTCCTTGATAGTCAATGACCATGACAATGGACTGTTTACCCACGTTGGCCATTGTACTTAATCTCGCCAATTGATTGGTAATTGGAAATGTATGCTAGAAAGTTTTAATGACAAATTAAGAAAATGAGAAAAAAACTATAAAAAACCTCAATGTTCAGGGGCATTGCTAACATTTGTCCTATTTTTCCCTTCAAAATCTGAACTATTCTTTTGAAGGGTCGGATGTCGAGTTCTGCCCCATTTCTTTCATTTTATAGCCGTGATGGAAGCTTAAAATACCTGCCATCATGGACGGACCTTACCTGTATTCCAAAAATATTTTCTTCGATCTAGCTCTAGACAGGTGTCAGTTCGAAATGTTTCTCATAGATAAGGAATCTTCAAATACCTCTAGAAAAGAATGCTTTTACTGAAATTTTTGAAATCCATTATTTTATTATTTCGAGAGATCGAGTCATCTTTGAATTTGAAAACGTATGTCTGTGAAACGTCAAATAAAATGATAAGTCGAAAGAAAGGTAAGATCAAAAAAATGATGATTTTAATAACTAAATTTATGTTTTACCTCCAAAAAAGGCCGTTAACGGTCCTATTATTATACGTCTGCGACTAATTCCAGCCCATTTTGCCGTTTCACGTGCACTTAGTTCAAAAACAGACATACCTTTTCAGATACAATCTTGATTTCTTAATATGTATTATGTTATTCAGAGTGTTTCCTAAATAATGTGAATTATTGTTTGAAGTAAAAAATAGTTATTTGTATCACAAGGCCAGAAACTATCATTTTGCAAGTGCATGTTTTTTGTGTGTGAAAAATACTATTTTTTAGTCCGACTAATTTTAAATTGTCCTCAAAAGTTAAAAAAAATAAATAGTTTGCGCTAGGAAAGTTAGAAATTATTTTTTAACCAAGGAGGACTGTATCCCAAAAAATGAAATCGAAAATTTTTCATCTGTACTAGAGTCGTTTCACCTATCCGGGGACACACTGTTTGTATTTGAAGGAGTACACAATCAGGGGTGTTCTAAGTGTTTTTTTTTTTAAGTTGGTAAAGGAGTAATCAAACTTCGACAACGTTGTTTTAAAATTGTGGTTTATCATTTCTCATTTTTCCATCGAATAATTATGTAGGATGTTTATTAAAAATGTAGTCAGCTATGAGTCTTTTATTTATTAGCACATTTTAACAAATTGGACATTAAACACAATTACTATTGAAACAAAATATAGARATAGATAACTAGTTGTAAGCGATTTTTTTTTTCAAATGGAACTTTTTAAATTAAAAATTTCAATTAAAAACTTAATTAAAAAAGCTTTTTAAAAAACAATAGYTGGTACTGACATCTTTGACAAATATTTCAGATAATGATAGTTACTAAAAATCCCTAGAAGTCTACCCTTAGTTGTTTTCACGGCCAACTGTATCTATCTCCACTTCGTTCCGATACGGCCATAACGCTCCTATACTAGCCCATAAGAAAAATAAATCCTGACCTTGAAAAAAAAGTTCGTCAAGTGGAGCTCCAAGTGGCAAGTATTAGAATTAAAACTGACGGAGAATGTCACCTGGCTGTCAGAATCTGCTTTAAGGTTATAACACGGACAAAAATAAAATTCCAAGTAAAATTCATACATACAATAAACAATCGTTCGATTTAATTTAATTCAAGTGNGTTGTTTTATTTTCTACCTATATGAACGTTTTAAAATTTGGATGTAAAGTCAAATTAAAAAAAAAGTGGTCGACAATGTCATTTCAAAAATTAATAAATAATAAGTGATTTACATTTTTGATTTGATGACAAATTACCAAACTTCATGATGCCAAAATGTGACAGTGACGACCACTTTTGAATGTGACTGTATCAATCTGTATATTTATTACATTTTCTTGCATACACTTACAAATTGTCAAAAATTTACTTAAATAAATGACTTTAAAGCAATAACAGTCACCAATGACAATTAATTTTACGATTCTGTTACGCCTGCAATTGTCGACTATGACTCGGGCATTTTCCAGCATTATGCATTTGTTACGTAAAACATATTTGATTGCATTTTTACACCTAGCTTAGCTTATCAGTTCAAATTCCAAGAAAGCATTGTTTGAAGAACATACTTCCTCAATTCTTAGTAATTTTTTCCATAAAAAATTAAAATTGTGTTAAAGCGGAACACAATTTCTCTCAATGGTTGTTACCGATTTGTCACAATTTATTATCAAAATTGATGCAATTTAGTGAAACTCCATATTGAGTCGTTTCGTGACTCGCTCGCAGGGTAATGGAAATTTCTTCTCATTGAAGAGTTATTTAAAAAAAATATTTTGTCGTGATAAATTACACATAATAATGTTTTTTGTTCTAAACAAATCGATAGATGCAATATCAGTCCAGTGTTATTAACTGATAATAAAAGTCGGTATTTAATATCAACGTCGACTAATAAAAATATCTTATTTGCTTTATAACCTGGTTTGCCTTCGAAGGTAGTGTCGTTTATTAATCGTTAATCATTACAAATATCGTGAAGTTCATTTAACCAAGTACTGTGAAATGAAGAGATTTTTTTTCAAATGGAATAACTAATTGCTCTCCATTGGCAATTACTCGGAACATAATAAATTTTATTCTTGATTTTATTGTTTTCCATTTAATTGGTTCGCATGCAAAATTATCATAATGGAAAAACGCTCAAGGTACAAGAACTAATTATTGTCGTCCATCTGCCATGAACAGTTCAGTAATTTGTTTAGAAAAAAACTTGATTTGGAATTTCTTTACTTAATAAAAATACTAATCACTTACAAGGTCTAGAGTACTATTCTGGATTTACAACCAATCACATAAATATTGTATTTTCCGTTATAATTGTGCAAAAACGAGAATTTACACAATGTCTGCATATTATATTAGAATTTTTGATCAGTTTGCTAACGGGAATTTTCATTTCAAAATTCACAAACCTGTAATTATTTATTCGAAGCAATTAATTCAAAAATTACGATAGCACTAATAGCGCCATTTTTTTAACTAAAATACTCAATTAACAAGTATGTAATTTTATCAGGAAACAAGTCGCGTAATTCGCTTTTAATAGCCACTTTTTGAAAAATTCATTAGATTATTGTTTGTTCGTTTTTTCACTTCGTTGTATGTAAATTCACGTGCGAAAACCACCAAGGCAATAACTTGCCTCTTCTTTAACAATAATTTTATGGTRGTTTCTTGTCATACGTCCCACAAACCTAATTTTATTAAAATCGCTCGCAAATTGARTTTTCATTCATTTCACGTTTATTGATTCGAATCGGGTTGAAAGACCTTGAAAAGAAAGTGAGATGCTTTTCAATAATGTCTGGGCAGAAAATTGGCCACTATGTAGTCTACATCGTGGCACTTTCACTTTGAACTTGATTTCGGTGTGCCCAAGGCTAAGTTTCGTCTTCCTTTCGAATAATAATCTATTGTATGGATTTTGGTATTAATTGGACGAGGAAAAGTGACACGATTTAGGAGAATTCGGTGGTCGGATGTTGGTAGTGGACTAGATTTGTTAATTTAATTAATTGGTACGGAAGTGGCAGTTATCTGATTTAGAAAAAAAGATTTGTGAGTAAAAGTGTTATTGTTTTTTATTGTTACATTGCATTTATTTTTGCATTTTTTTTATTTCTTTTTTCAACACTATCATTTTGTTATCATAAAAAAAACCTTAGTTGTTTCAACACTTCTGAATAATGAATAACAATGAAAGATTAATATTATTTTAAGGCAGTAATTTAATGAACAATTGTGTAATTTAGATCCTTTTTAATGAACAAAAATCATATATTTTTTATTATTTCATTCAAAAATTTACTGTTATTCAAAAGAATATGGAAACTGACATTTAGAAATTCTAATTGTAATAAAGTTATTAACCCTTGAATAGTTTGACCTACCAGTACCACCGTATTAAGTTTATTTTTTATTTCCATTTTATTTATTTGTGTGCTTATAAACTGGCTATTTTTGCATTGATGTGACATTAAACAGTAAAATTCTAAAATTGTTTAACTGAATTAAAATACATATGCATCTAACAGGGTGACTCAAAAATCTTGGACCACACCTGATTGAAAGACATTCAACTGAGTTACAAGTTTCCAAGACAAAATATTGTTTGAGTCTTTTTTCACGAGATATACCTAGTTCCTCAAAGGTTAGGTCTTTGGGTTGTTTTTGATCGTTTATATCATGAATTTAGTTAGCGGAAAAAAATCTTACAACATTAAACAGATACTTGTTGAAAAAAATSACTAATTTGTGTCTTATGGTATACAAAKKATTTCACAAACTAGAAAATTCAACAATAAATTAATTCCGACATCAGAAACAAAAAAGCCAAAGTGCCTACATAATGATATGGAAATTGTCAGTTCTATCAGTTACCGTTCTTTTCTTAGAAAACAAAGCTTGAAAAAATCTGCATTCATTTTTATGATTATTAGCTGAAAGTCTTATCATCGTTCGAGATTGGGTCAGATACTTTTGAATCACCCTGTATAAAGTCGTAACCTTAACAAATCAAAAAACTTAAACAAAATCGTAATGCCTTATTTATTTTAAATTGCTTTCGTATGGTGACTACCTACCGCAATTTTGAACATATTTTGATACCAGCGATTATTTAGGAACACAAAAGTCACAAGAATACAAAACAATTTATTTTTCTAATTCTATTGCAGGTTAATAATTGTTAGTGAAGATAGAAATAAAACATTAGTTCAACGGTAAAAGTCTGCCGTTCAAGGTTCAAAATAGGCAAATTTTCGTAAAAACTCTAATTACTCCTTATTACACCGGAAAATGGGCCATTAGCCGGCCGTTAAATTTTGCACCTGAATTAAAAATCTTCCCAAAGTAAACAAAAACATCTTTGGCAGTGAAACCGAATTTCACCTTGAAAATTACGACACAAAATGCAAATTAAATCAATCATGTGGCATTTGAATTCATGAAAGTGATCTCTGTCGTCTTTGGAATGTCATAAACTCCAGTGGCGTATCAAAATAGAATAAAATAATCCACCTGTTTTTAAACATCTTTATTCCCTCGAATAATGCTCATGTCAATTATCATAAGTGTTCCGTTCCCACGATAAGATGAAAGTCGAAGACGTCTAATTTCACTTTGACATAGTTGCTTATTGCAGGAAAGCAGGGMTATAATTGTGAAAAATTGAGCTTTCGATCSGGATCCCGGGGATAAAAAATAACAACACTTGTAACCACTTAGGRTAATCGYTAATCTCRGAACACGGCACTCACACATTTTCACACTATCTCAACCTAAAAGAAAAATGGGCCGATATAATTACACCCAGWATCTCYAAAATGCATACCAWGAGACGCATTAGTGTAGTTGATAAAACTCGTGATAAATAAATTTGTTTCGCTTTGGTGCGTGGGAGAGTTGTATGCCCTTTAATTGTACGAAATGTTGGAGTTTTCCAAATCGCGTGACGTCTTTTATTGTTAATTTGTTACATAATGTATCATCTTAGATTGTTAATGGAATGTTTTTGGATGGAAAACAATAATTATCGCGAAAGTTTACATTGCAACATAAAAATGTGTGTAAATTGCTCTTTAGGAAAGGTAAAGTGTTGTAGGATATCCGTCGAGCCATTATCAGCAAGGTAAAAATTAATTGAGATAATAGTGTTTGATGGTTCACTTTTACAAGGAGGGACGGTCTACTTTCTTCAAAAGATATTTGAAACGCATTTGTGTGGTCTTGTGTAAACTTTTCAGTGACATGCTTTTTATGTTTTTTAAGCACAATAATACTAGTATAATACAGTGTATTTCGTGTTTCACGGTTTTGGAGGCCTTCTTATAAATAAATAATGTTTTCGTCCCAATTTCTACAGTTTGTATATCGTTTTTTTTTATTTTTGAGTTCTATCATCTCTTTGATTGTTAATTTATTATTTTTAACTAAATGAAWATGTGAGAACTGATTGCAAAATATTAGTTTACATTTAAACGGAAACAATGACATCACAGGTCTTTGAAATAAAACCCAAAATAGTTATTTTTGCTACATACATACACAGATACCTCAAATACAGTTTTTCGGACGAGGCGAGGCTAAGCTGAGTCTGGAATAGCAGATGAATCTGTAATAACTTTTTTTGGATACATGTTACAAACAAATTTTTTTTGTTGAAGCTCCCAAAAGCACAAAATAGTACCGAAAATAATTATTATATTATTATTATATTATTATATTATTAATTATTTTAAAAAAAAAAAACTCATTTTAGGGACTTCAATGAATCCCTAAAATACTATTTTTGGCAGTTTGTTTTTTTTTCAGTTTTCTCAAAAATGTTTAATCTGAACTAAATAATTTATTAGTATTTATTGGGACATGAGGGCTTTGGGCAACAGTCTGGAAAGGGTTTTTCCCTATCTCCCTTGCGCATCTTACATCCCTTTTCAGCCTTGGCGTGTGCATTGCAGCTAAAATAAAATAAATTAAAAAATAAAAAACAATATGATGTTTTGGTACTGGAGACTGGTTAATTTTCCGGTAGACCTGCATATCACCACTGCACATTTTTTGTGGTGTAGTTTACTTTGACCAATTTTGAAAACACCATACTCTTTATGTCTACATTCATTTGGGAACGCTATAAGAATTTAATAAACAATTAAGWTGTARAGTTTCCAACAATAAAAACACTTACATTTTCTGTTTTTCCATGCAAAAACGTAAGTGAGTTGCAAAACACAAACAATCAATAGCACTACCAAAAATAACTTCATTTTGACATTACCTAAAGAAGTGTGTAACATAACAAATTGTGAAAAATTTGGCGCAATTGGCTTCTTATATACCCACCATTAACGCGTTGATTATTTAGCTGATAAGTTTTAACACCTATAAAGTTTTTAGAAATACGCGTTATTACTGCAAAAATGTAATCACTATTTTTTATTTACCAATTTAAAGCGTCTTTCTTTTGCTAGTGCGGTTTCAATGTATTACATTCTTTTTCTTTATTTGAATAAAGAAAATTTTCTGTTTTCTATAGAAGATATACTATTTGAATAGAAAAAAATGTCTGAAATTGTTTTTCAACTCTTTTATTAGTTTCTTCGACATATTGCATACACCACTAATGCCCCATGCGCCTTCCGAGGAATTATAGTAATCTTCCCATGATGGTATAACTTATTCTCGACTCCACTTTCCTCTTCTTGCCTCACCTGCATTCATTACTTACCCGTAKCAAGCATAAAATCCTCAAATGGCTCCCGTTCATTGTTGCCAACAGGTACTCGAACCGACATTTACAAGGCCATAGTCAGCAGACGTGAAAGTTRTTCACAATTTTTTTCCTTCAYCTTTGTCTTCGTTTCTCGTCTAAACCATAATTAATTCGTTCCAGGGTTCAGACTCCTGGGTGTCCGTACACAACTTGCAATCTCAAGGCGGCGGCATCTTAGATCCGGATGATCGATTGAGCGATGTCGTCGACGACAGAGAACAAATATTGGCGAATTTCGAAGACGGCGATGGAACACACCAACACGGAGGCGGTGACGGGGCCAGTGGCAGTTCAGTAGGAACGGGCAGCCCCGACATATTCCATGTGAGTTATCGCGGTTTCATCAATAGATTAACACTCGCATGTTACAAGTCATACGAAACGATGCAACCATTGAAAATTATTAGAAAAATACATCGAAACTCGAAAAATTCAAAGGTCTTGATCACTTAATTGCTGAGATTGCAGTCAAAAGAATAAAAGTTGCCGACGTGTAATTAAAGTAATTTTGAATTCCAGTAGGCTAAACTACCATCATATTTTACTAGGTAATTACTAATTGCAATTCGCACGACATTAAAAATTGCTGTTTTCATGCGAGGTTCAAAATTTTCATAAATTATAATTTTAATTAGTAGTTAATTCTAAATTATTATTTGATTGCAGACTAGTGGAATTATTATTTTAATGGAGTGTGCATACTCAGGTCGATGGAATTAATATAAATAATTAACACGAATTACTGTTGCAAGACATTAAAAAGTGATAAGTTTTGAAAATGCTGGTTAATTGATTCCAAAATTATGTATTTTWCAATAAATGATTCAATTCAAAGTCAYAATTTTCTATGACTTTTGACTCATAGAAAAAACTGGCCTGCCCTTTTTTTTGTRTCCGGTTGTACATCAAATAATGCTCGAAAAACTTCTCAATTGTTACAATGTTAAGAGAAGATCTGAAACATTTTGTAAATCAAAATAATATTTTTCAAAATTAATTAGTTTTCAACTTCACAGCTGTGAATAAGCAGAAACAAGCCTAAGCAGCAATGGGTGCAGGTAAATTGCGCTCACTTCAAGCACGGCATTTTAATTTTCTGCGCTCAGAAAATTTTTACTTACCTGCGTTGCGTTACTCCCAATGCTCAGGCTGGTCGATATGTCTCAGCGTGATGTAAAAAATTAAATTATTAAAAATTAAATTCCGAGGCTAGTGAAAATAGGAATGAACTAGTTGCAAAAATGTACTTTGTATTTCGAAATAAACAAAAACGAAATAGGTTATTATTTACATTTACTGAACACAACTATACATAATACTGTTTCAAAAAATTCGGTCAAACTTATAAGATAGACATTTGACAAAAGTGGTTCGATCTATTTCTCTTTCAATATTTTTTATTTAATTAAAACATACCTTTTAATACAGGGTATTTCAGAAGTCGCATCCCAGAGAATAATGTCAAATGTGCTCCCTAAAAGTTCGAAGCACCAACCCATGGGTGGGTACCCCGTTGTGATGCTACTGAGCGCAGTTCACCTAAAGGATTAGCGACCCTTATTAGTCCCATTATACTTGTTTCTAAAACTGAGCGCAATTCACCCACCCCCGCAGCAATACGTAGAAACGTAAAACAAAAAGCCTTAACTGATAATCTGTAATAACAGACTAATAAAAAAAAAAAAGAAAAAGAAATGCTGAACTTAAAGTTAAAATACAAAAGAACAAAAAAAATCATATTAAAAAAATTAAAAATCATACTCAAAACAAAAAATTAGAAGAATAGTATATTAAAGTACAAGTTGCAGAAGGTATGTATTCAAGCACAAATTTGAAATTCAGAAACGAACCGCGTAGCGGCGAGTTGAGGAACAAACGAGTGCTTGAAGAACCTTCTGCAACAAGTGCTTTATACTATTTTTTCTATTTCGCCACTTTATATCATTTTATAAATTAAAAAACGAAAGTTAATTTTTTTTTTCTAGAGAATTTTGCGACGATTGGCGACATTTATGTGTGGAATAATTTTAGGCGGCTGTAAAAAATAAAAATTATTCTTATTTTCACATTTGAAAATGAATTGTGAAGAAATTCCGTCACTAAAATTAAATTACCGCGAACGACTTATTCCAGCACGCAAATGACGTCATTTGGGTGCTGGAATAGACTTATTCTAACACCGAAATAGAAAAATATGTATGCACCAATTTAAAAACTTGAAAAAAAAACAACTGGGACAAAAATAAAATTTAAAACAAAAACTATATTGAAATAGAAAAAATAATAAACCGTGAAATAATGAGTAGATGTATCCAAGTGAGTACAATAGAAAAATTAAAATTTAAATAATATAAGAAACATTTGAAGAATAAATAATAAGCGACGAAGCAAAAATATAAAGAATTGGCAGGTTTTACTCTACCATGAGTGATGGCAAATTGCTTCGAACTAAACTTGTAAAATTTTTGTTTAATTTTTTATTATCACTTTAGACTTTAAACTTTACGACTCTATCTAAGTGTCATCTTCATAAATCTTTTTGTAAAAAAAAACTTACGCTTTGCTTTCAAAATAAGTAAATCAAAAATGTTTTTTTTTTATGAAAGTGTGTTATTGCAATTAAATAAGAGAAAAGACGTCAGCTTGTTTAACTTTAACCTGAGTTGATTAATCTAAAATCTGTTAGGATTTTAGTATCTTTTACTAGATTTCTGTAAAACTAAGGCCAGTAAATCGTGTTAGACCTGCTATAGCAACAGAACTACTGACACAATTGTGTGTTCTATGAAAATAATGAATGTTCGAGCGTGCAACATACCCGAAAAAATAATTTCCATTGACTCAAACACTCCTCTTGCAAAATTACCACTCACACTATTAAAAAATTGCAACACAATAAATGAGACTGAAACAATTTACAATTGCGAGTGTTYTAAATTCATTTATTATTTCACAATTCGTAACATTCTAATTAAAATAAAAACTAGGATGGCGAACACAAATACGGCCCCAACTATCCGAGAACAGACATCGAAGTCACCGGCGAACAAATCGCCTTGGGAGTCCCCGGAGCCCTCCAAGTGCGTCGAGGGAGCGAACCTGCCCTTAATCAACTCCCAGTAGGACCACCCGCACCACCTGAACACCCAAAAAGGTGGAGCGCTGCACCCCTAATCTTGGAACCACCCCAAATTGGTTATAACAGTAACGATTGGAATGAAGACTCGAAGGAGGAAGAAGGGACAAACGCAGGTTTCAGGAGGAGGGATGGAAGTAATCGACTTTCGATGCAATTTCTGGGGGATGGTGCTGGATATCGATGGGCTGAAGCCGCCGAAAGAGCGGCCCAGTCAAGGGCGAGTACTTCGTTACCGAGAGAGAGTAAAAGGAAGGAGCCTTTAGGGCAGGCGAATAATTCAACTAGTCCTCCACCTCCGAGTGACAAGTAAAGGTCAAGGGTTAGATTGATGGTGTTTTTAATTTTTTTTTCCAGTGCCGAGCTTATAGTAATTCGGAATGAGCCTGGACCACTTGGGATCCATGTTGTTCCAGATTATGATAGGTTAGGAAAGGATCGAGGTCTCCTGGTTCAAGGAATTGAACCCGGGAAAAGGATAGACCGTGACGGAAGATTGGCAATTTATGATAGAATAATCGAAATAAACGGTGAAAATTTATTAAATATGCCATTTCAAAGGTAAGTTATGAGCTATGTTGAGGGTTTTATTGAAAATTTGCTTCAAGGGTGCAAGACATCTTCAAACTTTACTTAAATTCGCCAGAATTAAGACTGAAAGTTATCAAAAATTCCGGTTTAGACAGTCTCCGGAAACCTCCAGCCCCCATTTATCCTAGGTTTCCTGAAGACAAGGAAAACGTCTCGATGGTAGAATGCGAGCAGAAACGTGAGTTGCACGTCATCAACCCTCAAACATCAAATAATCCAGCATTTGCAGAAAGTACAAATACTAAAGTAGCGACAGTCTCGCCGACTAAAAAAGTACCCGCAATTTCAAAAAATCTTAAAACTTTTCTAAGCGCAAACACGCGGAAAATCGGCCGTAAATATGAAATAGATTTAATTAAAGGCCCACACGGGTTGGGATTTAGTATAACGACAAGGGATAATCCCGCTGGTGGGAATTGTCCGATTTATATCAAGAATATCATCCCGAAAGGGGCTGCAGTCGAAGATGGTAGACTTAAAATCGGGGATCGGCTTTTGGAGGTAAATGGGGTTGAAATGACAGGGAAAAGTCAAGCCGAGGCTGTGGCGGTGTTGAGGAATGCGCCACTAGGGAGCACTGTGAGGATAGTGGTGTCGAGGCAAGAGGATGTCATCGATAATTCGCTCCCAAGGATAATAGTAAGTGGTTTCTCGAAATGTAGTTACATAAATTAGTAGACCAGTCAATTTTAATGCACCAAAATTCTCAAGTCATTGTTTTTTCCATTAAACGAGAATTACAAGTCAAAATTTTGCTGAGGAAATCATAAAAGTAAAAAATGTTTTTGGAGCTCCATAAATGAATAGATTTTTGGTGTGAATCTTAAATTTATGTCTTTATGACTGGCCGACTCTAGTTAACTAGTTATTGCACGTTGTAGTTTATTTTATCTAATACCACCGTATGAACCTAGGATTCTGAGCAAGAAAAAGAAGTGGAAGACTCGGCCGAGGTTGTTAATGGTAACGATGTACCACCTAACATACCTCCACTCCCCCAGAGTCACCTCCAAGCTCTCCAAAACAGATCCGAAAAGAACGGTTCAGTAGCTAAAATCGTGTCACAGTTTCAAGAGGCTGCGAACAATGTAATTTAGTTTTTTATTTGTTTCACTTAAACTAACCGCTTGTGTAGTTTATTGTGCCACTAAACCAATCTGCTATATCACATTTTTGTTATAAATGAGTTTTCTTCTGCATAATTCGATAATTTTTTAGCCCCCGGACAAAACCGACGACATGATTTTTCCTTGGAAACACCGTGAAATTCTAACTCTAAACATCCCAGTTCACGATTCGGAAAAAGCCGGTTTAGGGATTAGCGTCAAAGGCAAAACCAGCGGCACCCAAGACTTGGGAATATTCATCAAGAGTGTGATACATGGAGGTGCGGCGTCACGTGATAAGCGATTACGGACCAACGACCAGTTGCTCAACGTTAATGGAATTTCGTTACTCCAGCAATCGAATAGTGACGCAATGGAGACACTCCGGAAGGCCATGTTGCATACTGAAGGACCGGTTCCGGGGAACATCACACTGACGATAGCTCGGAGAGCGGCGAGTCCGGGCGCTAACAGGAGTTTTAGTAGTCGAGGATCAGACCCGAACTTGTTAAATACGTCTTCTTCTGGTGAATTATTTCACTCGAACTCAAATTCCAATGATACGGATCCATCACATAGTAACAATTCCGGTGCTAGCGGCAGTTCYACAAATACAGTCATTTTTAACCCGAATCAAAATGGCGTCGAGGCGAAACAAATGCAAAATGTCTCGCAAATGCACACATGGAATCCGGTTTTAGACCGGCTGACTGGAAATAACAAACAACTGCGCAACGAAAGTTACTACAAGGTTTGTCCACTTTTATTCACGTTTAGCTGTACTAAAAATACATTTTTAGGCAACTCATGACACTTGGAGTAACAGCATGTTGGCCTCCGCTAACAACTCGTACGGCAATATGACAAGTACCACTCTAAGTTTAGCCCCAGCTGAGCCAATCCTGATCGAGGATGAGTACGGTTCAAGAGTTCTAACGCATCAAAATTCTCGGTTTGTATTCTTTTTCGATTTGAGTCACTCACTACGTTCGTGCTTGCAGAATCAATGTCCATATGACCAACAAGATGAATTTATCCAATGGCAGCATTCCCGAAAACCGGAATGATCACGAACCTGACGGGAAAGCAAATGTTTCGGATAATAAAAGCACCGATTCCAACTCTCAAACCACCATTCAAGGGACAGACGCGACGTATGCCAGCCAGTTATCCCTCGAAAATCCCCAAGGATTCTCCCGGGATGCTTTTGGGAGGCAGAGTATGTCAGAGAAACGGCACGCAACCTTAGATGCGAAAAATACAGATACCTACCAACGGACGAAGAAACTACGCGAAGAGAGAAAAAGTAAGGATGGTAACAGTAAGTTCTGTTGTGTACTAACAAAAACTCTTTGTGTTTGTGCTAATTGATTTTTCATTCATTCTGTAGCTAATTTAGTCAGAGTTGGGTCTGTGGAGTCTGTTATAAGTGTTAATCGGTCATCTGAACATCCTGAATGTAAGGCTGAAGTCTTATTACTGGTGTGTGTATGTGTCTTAATTTGTTGTTTTAACAGATGCGGACAAATTGGGTCAATTGGGACCTTCATTGGGGATGAAGAAGTCGTCTAGTCTTGAATCGTTACAAACCATGGTGCAAGAGGTGAGTTTGATTTAATCATTTTTTCAGCTAATTATTTTTCTATCGCTACCGTTTTCTCAGAAAATTTATCTTCATTAAATGGTCATCATTATTATGATAAATAATCGAACGACAGAGTCTGAAAAATCTCAATTTTATTTATACTTTTTAATCAATTTTACTGTCAATATTTGTGATTGAGTGAAACCTTAAATTTGGAATTTTTAGATACAGATGCAAGAAGAGGGTGACCCGGCTTATAGCTACAGAGGCCCCTCGGGGGCCCTTAAAGTGATTCGAGGACGGGGCTGTGAGGAGAGTTTTAGGGCAGCTGTCGATAAACACATTGTAGACCCGAACCACCAATCAGAAATAAGTAATTCGTGTCAAATGTCACTTGCTATTGTCTGATTGGTTGATTTTCAGGTGCCAAGAAACATTGGTTGCTTGATGGTCCAATGGAGGAGCGTGAAATTGATGGTTTTAACAATGTGAGAGGAGCCCCACGTCAATCTTCTCTTAATGCAGCCCTTGATAGTAAACACAAATCCGGAAAAAAGAAACCGAGTTTGTTAAAAGGCATTGGTTCAATGTTCCGGTTTGGAAAACACCGGAAAATGGAATTTAACAACATTGATATACAACATTATCATCCGACAAACGAATTTGATCCCAATGCTAACAACAATCAACAACAACAACAAGCAGAACAACAAAATTATCAACAGCAACAACACGAAAATTCCAGCCAGGAGCAACAACAACAACGTGCACAACAGATGATACAACAACAGAGAGAACCGTTGTATCAAAGGCACGGCTTTGTGCACCGACATGCTGAACAGGTCCAAGTGATTCCGGAAAATTCAGTGGCGCCACCTGTCAAATACCGGAATCACGTCACTGTTGATCAACAAGGACAGAGACGGAAAATGCAAGAACATAGAATGAGACACACTTACTACCAATCGGATGATAGAGAGCCGATATATGGACAACAAGTATGTAACTCTGATGAAAAAGCCATAAATAAAAATATTTGTTCTAGGGGAATTTCGGAGAATATGGTGGTAGGCCTGGCAGCCGGTCGGGAATCACCGATTCCGTTCCATTCACCCATTACGTCAACTACAACGAGCTGCAAAATCACTTAAGGTAAGCCTACAACACAATTAATGTCAAAGGTTATGGAAATATTGGGCCCCTTTCAATGTCTCTACGTTGTGCACATTTCATTTGTTTACTAACTCTGATTTGTTGCATGACATAACGATCTGTTTTTATATGTTTTGATGTTTATATGTTGTTATTGTCATAATTGTATTTTGTCCACGCAGCCGTAAAGATCCGCTATCTGACAGTCAGATAGTTCAGATGCGTCTGCAAGTTCAACAGCAAAGGTTAAAGGTGGAGGAAGAAAGGTATGCACTTTTTTCCCCTTACACACTCTTGTGCTTTGCGACTAATTTTGTTAAATTGCATGCATGCTTGCAGGTGTTGTGTAACGAAATTCTTTTGTTCCAAACAATAACAAAAAAAAAAAGAAAGTTGAATAATATTGTATTAAAATTGTGATGCATGCAACCTATACACTCGAGTCACTCACTGATTTTTTTGTGTGACCTCGAGTTATTAACATTCGACATACAATTTGTATTTTTTCTATTAGTGACAATCCCATTTTTTACTAGTCGAAAGCAGCATCAGTACCATTCGCAACGCCAGACCCGCACCGACAACCAACTTCGGCCCGTTTCAAACTTCTACGAATACGAGAGTATCCAATCGATGCTTAATAACCGTCGGGGGAACCCCCCAGTACCGCATAGTAATCCACCTGTGATGTACCAAGATGTCAATTCAAACTCTCTTCCACGGCAAGGGCAACCACCTGTTCAAGGCCGGCACCCGAATCGTAATCATAGAGGGCCGTTTGTGACCCACGTGACTATCGGCGATAGCCAACAAAACGGAACGAAAGTGTAAAAGTGCTTCATTGTAGGTGTTGAAACTTGTTTTTGTGATTTGTATCAGTATTATGAAACTGTTTCAGCGCCACGTCCATTTTAATCTATTTTAGTTGTGTATATACGAGCTTATATTTTATATTGTAAATAATTTATAATATGTATAAATAAAGAAGTAAATTTTATACAAACAAAAAAATACACAGTTACAAAATTGTCCGTATTGCATCTTTATTTAAATAAGGTATACAATAAAGAATTGGTGATATTACAATACAAATAAACACAACTTAAATGAAATTATGTAATCGAAGGAGTTGGGATTGAGTGCACCAGAGGTGTGGTGCACCTCACCTAAGAATCCTCATCGGAAAACCAGCGCTGACGTGTTTGGCGGGAGCTTTAAATGCAAAGTCTCCGTTAGCATTCAATATAGAATTTGATATACATTTGCTCAATGTGAGCAATAATAATGAACTAACATGCAGAGGCATGACTAAACCTAAATCATAAACAAGCTAATTTATGATGGCAATATGAACTGATGGGTATGGGTAACAAATGAAAAATAAATAAGTATAAAAAATCATAGTCTATAATATCACTAACAGCGAAAATACGTATGGATGTCCACAAATAAAAATCTCTGCACGTTATGTTCGATTTTCTAAGGAAGAACAATAATCTGAATGTGTTTTGTCAAGAGGTTTACGGTGAAGAAGCTGTGTGAACATTGTTTTAATTTAACGGAAAGACTGCTGCGGCTATACTGGAATTGGATGGGCAAAGCATAACCGACTATTAACATACACAGGTTAGCCATCATCCAGAACTTTGAGCGAGTTATCACACGGGACCTCTAACAGAGCTAATTCTTATACAAATAAATAATCCTTACTCTAATTTCTTCAATAAAAAATCCAATATCTACAATTTCATACACTTGTTAGAATTATCCTATTTACAATCACTTCCACTGAACCAACTCGTCATTCACGTCAGTCGAAAACAACAAAATTTAGGCCCGGAAAAAATTCGTTGACGAAACAAAAAGCTGACGTAAATGTTAGTTAAAGCGTCCCTCTCCCGACACTAGGTAGAACCTAACCTTACACATTTTGGTCCTGTCCTGCACGACTACCACTATTCACATTTTTTCCTTAATTATTACATCATCAGTCTCAAGGGGCAAATAATAATGCATTTGCGACGAGTATTTGACAGAAAACGAAACATTTTTGAAACGAAAGAACAGATTCCTGCGACGCGGCCTAGGAGTTATAAAAATTATCATAAACAGATCACATACAATATGAAATCTATGATTAAACAGTCCAGCGTTTATGTCATTGAAGCTCTGATCACAGATTAACACGTGGTCACATGACTAGTGTAATGTCCAGCATTTTTAACAGTCTTCTTCTTTCTAACTCTATCATGACGTAGACTAACCCAAATAAGGCATGAACCTAGCTCGGAAAAATGCAGGCAGCCTAAATAAGCTTATCTACGAATTATCACTCATCTGAATGTCAATTAATGATCCCAGACAGGGCAAGGATTAGTAATTAACATCTCGACATTTTTTAATTAATTACCTCCCTGCATTTTTTCCACGATAGTCTGTCTAGTTAGTCTAGACACTGTGTTATGATAAATAACGTTTACTTTGACATCTTAGAAATACGAAAGTGCATTGGCAGTATCTATGTTTTACTAACTAGTGGAGTGCATGGGCACTTGAGTAGGTGTTGAATTGACCACCACCGCCGTCGTCGCCAACGGTAACGCTGCATTCACCAAGGCCGCCGGTTGGGTAGGAGGGGGCATATGCGATAAGGGCTGAAAAATTCGACTCGGACTACTACGGCCGGAACAACAGTCCTTTAACGTCTCTCCTATAAGGGTAGCAATTTTGTCTCGATCGTCCTATCAACATAAAAAAAAACATAAATATTATACAACCGATTGAGATTTTTCCGGTTTGATTAACGCAAAACGATTTTAATACCGGGTTTTACGCTAGGGGTGGGTGGGGGAAATGTTGATAAATGGCCGGGATGAAATAGATTTTTGTCAATTATCCACAAGCATATGGCTCATTGATGAATGGCTAATATAATCTACAAACTATTTAATGCAATACATCATTTTTAAACAGTAATGACATTAATTATTCATAATCTGATTTAATACTGATAAAAACTCGTATACTAGCGTTAAAACCGAGAGACAAAAAACATTTTGTGTAATTACAACTTACTTTGAAGTGGAAATTGACAAAAAAATCAAAAATTAACGAAAAATGTAAAAAAATAGATAATAACTTTTTTTAATGTATTTGAACATGCATTTGATTATTACGTAATACTGACATACTTTTTGAGTAAAATTATCAATGTAAGTATTTTTAGTAAACATAAAATTATTTTTCATTATCATTTTAGAAAGCCTAAAAATTTCAATATAGTTTATTTCAATTCACAACGCGTTTGTGAATAACCTTATAATATTTTTTTCAGGACTTAAAATGTGACYCTAAAGTAGTGGTCATTTTTCTTCAAGGAAAACACAAAAAGATATCAAATTGTGCCGAAAATTATACATCAATTAAAGTGTAAACTGCCAGAATATTTTAAATGCAAACAATCTATATGTATACTTCTATATTTGCTAACAATATATAAAGTTAAATTGCATACTGGAATGGCAAAATAGGGAAATAATAGTTATTTGTATTACAAGGGAGAAAAGTGTATCTTTTCCTCCCACAGTAAATGTTACTGCAGGGAGGAAAAGACACTTTCGTCCATATAGTATATAACTTTTTCTACGATGTAGCAAGAAAAACTTCAAAACTAACAGTTTCTCTTGATATCCCCCACAGTTTTGCCATTAAATCTAGCAGCATGTTCTTCCATTTCTTTGGGGGAGGTATTTTTTTACCTCCCTGGGAAGTTACATATATTTTTATTGTAATTTTGGAAGACGAGGGAGGAAAATGTTTTTAGGGAGATAATTGGGCACTTTCCTTTCTGAAATTATGGTGGAAAAACTTACTTTCTGTTAGGGCCATGGGAAAAATATTTTAATATTTATTTTGTTTGACGTAAATTTTAGACAGAAAATGAAATCTATATTTATAATAAAAAAACTCTTCTAGAGGCAAAGTAGTAAATTTACAGTTCAGTAAAAATAGAAAATCCCTGAAATATCCAGGGATTAAAATACAGGGTGTTTCACACAATTTTACCAGGTTTGCGCCTAATGTACACATCCAAATATACAAAATTCACAAAACACTAGATACAAAAAATACACATTTAATTACTTAATTTTTGGAAACCCATGACAGCAGTTGTCAAACTAATCACTGTTTCATTATTAGTCATAAACTGCAGTTTTTCAGAAACAATTATCATTTGCTCTATCAAGAGAAGGCATGAACATAATTCTAGTTTATCTATCTTAATCACTAACTAACTAAAAATGTTGTAATTTTTAAAGGGGTGAACAAACTAGAGAAGATTATCCAATTTTTCAAAATTTTGTAATCGAGTTCGTGTCGGAATATATATTATWGATTGCATCTTAGAGGCGCAGGRCTCGTAAAATTATGTGAAACACCCTGTATTAAAACATTAAATATTCACAAAATTTTTACTTTGGAGTTGAACAATTACTTTTGTTTCTGTTGTTATCCTAAAAAAAWTATATCCACACAATAATTGTGAGATAACAGGACCACCATTACCAAGACTARCAATTTTTTGACATTAACCACTGTTTTTTAGMATATTTTCTTGAATTTATACTATCAGWCACTACTAAACTTTCCAAAATTTGACTTTAAATCATGGTCATGTGCATTTTTTTCTTCTACGTGACTGGCGCAGATATATACAGGGTGTTTACTACGGTCTTGAGGTTGAAATTTAAATGAGATGATATCCACGGTAAAAGAAAACTAATATGCTATATAAAACAAAAATTCACGTAGTTAAAGGAAATTATTCATTTTACACTATTTGTTTGAGAACTGCTGCTTCGGCTGCAACAATGGCCATTAGTATCATTACCTTGTGTTCCACCGTAAATCATAATCACGACAACCAATTTATAATTTTAATATTTTGCCATACATGTTCATAAATTTTGAGAAAAATTAAGAAAAACGAATCAAACGTATTGGAAACCGTTCGTTGAAAGACATTAAACAGAAGATCTTCGAATTTTGATAAAAACTAAAGCAAAAGCAAATCAAATGACAGTGTCAAAACTATGAAATGACTTTTCTCTTTCATTGTCATGGATACGATTTTTTAATCTGTTGCAACAATATTTTATCTGAACAAGGAAATAATTCCAGTGACCCTCAAACCGTGTACCAATATTTTGGAGTTAAATAACATTCTTGATAATAACAATTGTGTGAGTTTTTTTCTCGGTTACAGTATTTCTGTACTCTTCRATTACTAGGTCAAATTTCAACTCCAAGACTGTAAACACCCTGTATTTATTTATTTGAAAAGCTCTTAAAGTTGTAGTTTTACATAAATTATATTAATTTTACGATATCAAAAAATAAGAATAAACAACTAAAATAAGAACCTGAATTTGTTAGAAAGTAGTGCGTTAAAAACACTCAGTAATGGAAATAAATCATCCACATAAGTAAACTAACTTTCATTTAAAAATGCTATTTTTGTTGAGTTTGCAAAACTCTTACCTTATCTGCTATCAAGAAATAAATGTTGAAAAACATTATTTAACTTTGTTTTTCTAAATGATAAAATCCTTTTAATATCGCAACTAAATATGTACATACACTCCCCACAAATTATGCCAAGAGCATTTTATAAACTGTATTCAATCAGCAAATTCCTTGTTAAAATATTTAATCACGTAATTTCGCCTCATAACATCGTAAAAGCGTTCAACTTTTATTTATATCAGCTGAAACCAAACAAATTTCTAGGAAGAAAACCAGATTAGTTCCTCACAAATTTTTCAAAAAAACAAACGACAATTTATTTTGATTTTACGCAAGCAGCTTTCGTTTTTAACTTACTTCATTTATGAAACCATAATGTACCAACTCTTGAGCTAAAGCTTTCGGAGAATCCGTTTGCGTAATACAACTAGTCAAATGGCGATTCATTTTATCGTCCATACGGAGTACAATCGTCAACTATAACAAGAAAAAGAAAACTCTAAAATGACACATCAAATATTTGTAATAGAAACGCACCAATAAATCACAGCTCTCTTCTTTGGGTTTGATGTCGCACATCATATTGACAATTTTCCTATTTTCTACATCCATCGGTTCCGGTGTGACGGACTTGACCGATTCCGCCATTTCCGGTGATATCGCCCTCGACCGGGCTGGAGGGGGTTGCTTAGCACCGAAGGCCGTTAAAGGATAAATGCCGTTTCTAAACGAAAAAATTAATCAAAATTATCCGAAAATTTCCACAACTCACTTCACGTCCTCGACAAACTTTTCCAACTTTTCCGTTATGGGAATATCGGACATTTTCATATGAACCGGTGGTCCACTTTTGCGCCGAATTTCGGCCACTATCATATCAGGTCCATACCACCTCTGCATCAACTCATCTGTTATCGTTTCAGATATGTTCGCTGCGAAAAAAATAATAATTACATAAGCGGTGACAAATGAAATTTCCCTAGATGACGCTCATCTGACTGGACGGTGGCGCCGTTAAACGTCACGTTCTGATACTAACCAGATCTTTTGACCAAACAATGGGCAGCAAGGAGCTTAAGACTGTGCACTTCGAAAAGTAAGGGGTGAAAGAGGAGCTCCTTTGCTGTCGGCCGATCATTGGGATTTTTCTGTAGACACTTCTTAATGAAATCCTTCTGTTGTTCGTCCTCTAACGAATCGATCGTTTTCTTGATATTCTCTTCCGTTACTTTGTTACCGGAATCGCCGTTGCCTACTATTTCGAGAGCGGCCATTTCCAACGCGCACATGCCGAACGAGTAAATGTCCATTGGGGGGCCCATCGTGCCTACAAACACACCAAATTAACAAGATTCACTCAATTTTCCCAAAATAAACGAAAGTTTTGTGTGACACAAATATAAGAAGCAGAGGATAGAACAGATGAAGCAATTTATTAAAAATACGAGAAAAAACCCCAAATGTTAGTGGTACATCGAGATAGCCACACTTTCTGATTTTTTTATCAATCTTAAGTTCAAGGCTGCGAGAATTATGTACAACTTTCAAGGTTCTGCAATCAATCACAAATCCGTGTATATTATATTTTAACAAGCATGATATAAAATAATGGTTATTCATACTGATACTGAGTCATACGCTCCATGGAAACTGATAGGATTTTTTTACAACCGCAACATTCAAATATTTCAAGATACACCAACACGTAATGAGAATTACAGTTGAAATTTTTCAGCCTTGGATTTATTTAAGCGCGACCTTTTCAAATGCACTGTATCTATTAATGTATCACCCCTCAAGATCGTATTTTGCAATTGAAAAAAAAAATATATTAAAATAACTTTTTAAATGGTGACGCCTTGCAAATTTATTTTAATCGGATTTTTTCACCCCTGTACTTTGTCTTTCTATTTCTAATTTGAAATTTCTTAGATTTTTTAATTAGGTTTTTTATCGCAATAAAGAAACAATTTCAAGCCAGTTGGCAATGACAATCAAAATCGGCTCTTTTTTTCAAATTAAAAATAGTTGTCACCTGTCACCTATATTTCAAATGGCAAAAATATATTTCAGTTGATCATAAATAAATGGATTAAAATTTCTTATAATTGTTTCTTGTATTGTTTAAAAAGACTGATTTTATTTTACTTAAGAATTTTTCTAATGTTAAAAAGATTGAGTACATGATGAATTGTGATCATATTTCCGTTATTGGTTAATAACTAGTGATAAAATTACAACTTTTCAGTCTCTTTATTATTTTTTGAGAAAAAAAATCACAAATTGCTGAAAAAACTTAATCATCGATTGACACTAATATCATACGATGAAAGTAATCAATAATTAGCCTTTCCATCCTAAAAGCATCGTTATGTGCGTCAGAAGACAAAAAGGAATTTCAATTCTTATTATATTTTGACTTCATACCGCCTGAAAAATACAATAAAAGATAAAAGACATGACATTTCCTCATATTACATAAAGAGCTTTTTTTTATTTAATATCAACGTCAGAGGCAGCGTCACCCAATTTAATTTACTCGTGTTTTTTTTTATTAGTAGTAATTTTTGTAAGCCTACAATTTCATAAATAATTAGTTGAGTTTATATTTTCCCCCGTTCGATAATATAAAATTAATCATGAATAATGAACAATGAAATAGCGAGAGGGAAAGAATCGTGAAATATGCAAAACAAAAACATAATAAATATGCAAACCATCACCACAAAATAAAGCAAAAAAATTACCCAAATATATGAAGAACAAAAACGTAAAAATTGAAAAACAATAAACTAGTAACTAGAGAAAAGCCGATTACTTACTAGGATGTTCTGGTGCAATGAAATGCATATTTTTGAAATCGTCCTGGCATGTTTTAACGTGATGGTTTATGGAATCAGGAGCCACTAGAGAAATGAAAGCGAAATTAGTAAAAAAAGTTTATAGCTCCAAGTGTGGCTGATAGTGGGCAGCCAACGGCAGACAAACCGTCGAACCATTTTCGAAACCATTTCTTTGCTTGTAACAAAATGATTTAATTGAAAAGAAAAATTGTATAATTCGAAAATGATTAAGACACGAATTGGGAGCAGACGTTTTACAGAATATCGTTCCTCACTCATTATTAGTGCGTGTAAATTCGCCCCCAAAATCCGATTTTACATACACGAAATGAATGAGGAAGGATTAACGAATGCCCGTCAAAATGCATCTCGCATGCCCGCTTCAGCTAATGCCCGTTTCGCACTATATCGACAGTTACAGCTACATTGCGCCACCCGGTATACTAAAAACAATCGAATATCGATACTGTATGAAACGAGCAAGTCTGAAACGGGCGTAACGATCCACCGCCGCTGATCGCGAACTATACAGCATATAAATTCCAAAAAAAATCAAACCAATTGAATAAGTAAAAGACACAATTTTTTCGAAAAAAGTGAATTTCATGAGATTTTTCGATGTGATTACCTGATCCAATCTTGACGAGGCCATTGTGCTGTATAAATATGGTATCACAGGTCAGATTGCCGTGGATGATTGGCGGAGAACAGGAATGCAAGTAACTGGAAAGAAAACAGACTGGAGATCATAGAACTGGCGAACGCCGGCCGATCTCGCTGCAAACTGCTGACACAAAATTCGGATTTTTGCGTTCGGCGTCGAGACGCGGCCCCAAAAAAAAAGACAAACGGTAAAAATCATAAAACATGAGCCGCGTCATCGAGCCYCACAAAAACGCTTTTTCGATTTCATTTTATTGTTTTCAGGCTAGAAACCACTTACCTTTGCGTTGACACTGTGAACACATGGTATTAACAATATAACAAATTGGCAAAAGACACAAGTACAATGTTTGTCAACCACGACAATTTACATACTCACAATATTCGAATCGTCGTGGCGACACTATAGATTTATTTACAATATCATCTTAACAACTACATTAAATTAGATAAATTTTAAGAATAACTTATACTAAGTGCGACAGTTTTTCTCGTTTACTGCCTTTTTGCATATTTACCTTAAAGCAGAGAGGATTTGTGTACACCATCTCCTCCACGCAGGGAGTGGCAGCCTTCTCACATTGCGTTTCGTACGCTTGAGGAACTGTTTCAAGGAACCTGAGGACATGTATTCCGTAATGAATATGACCTGAAACAAGAAATCATTTTCGTTAAAACTGTCCGCTTTTATTGGGAACCAAGCGTACACAAATCAATTTCTTTGAAAATTGTCTGCTTTCAAGCTATTAGTGTTATTGGTTCACTTTCAATAGTTTAGGTAGTTTTCAACATCGAATGACAACTGTATTAACTGTATAAAACATAATTCACCATACTTACTCGAGGCTTGTCGTTGTGTGTATCCGTCCAATATCGATGGAATTTGACAATGTTAGGGTGCTCGAGTTGCGTGAGATTTTCAAAAATAAGTTGTATTTTTTCCTCTTGGTTCTTAAAATTTTTACGTTCCGAAAACTGGACTTCGTTCCATACGACTTCGACTCCTTCCTCTGTATCCATGGCCAAATAGGCGCAGTCGATTCCAGGCACATCTCTTTGTTCTACCTGAAAACACACAAATTTTCATTATCAAATCCATACAATAAAACACGGTATATTATACTAAGTGACATTAGAGACCCAGAAGTAATAAATATACGGGGTGAGTTATTTATAATAAAGACCCTAACCGATTTTCAGACACAACCCAAAATACCTTCTCACAGTTGGCTTTTGTTGCGTTTGCAAAATTAAAATTATTAATTTTTAATCAAAGTGATTGTTGATATGTCATGCATTAAATTTGACAGTGTTCCAATTCCAATTTTTTTCCCTTGAAACGACATAAAAACTAAGATATGGAGAATGCCACAAAAATGATGTGGCTAAATCTGTACCGTCAAAGGTACATCGTAGGACGCTAAGTTATAAAAACTGTCAAAGCTCTCGCAGATATCTATGTTTATAAATTTGAAAAATTTCAAACAGTACATGGCATCTGAAAATGTATTTTGGATTGCGTCTGAAAAWCAGTCTTTATTATACAGGGTGTTTCACACAACTTTACGAGGCTTGCGCCTAATGTACGCTCCCAAATATACAAAAGTCACAAAACACTAGATACAAGAAATATACATTTAATTATTTAATTTTTGGAAACCCATGACAGTAGTTGTCAAACTGATCACTGTTTCATTAACAGTCATAAACTGCAGTCTATCTATCTTAATCACTAACTAACTTAAAACGTTGTAATTTTTGAAAGGGTGAACAAACTAGAGAAGATTATCCAATTTTTCAAAATATGTATTATTAATTGCATCTTATAGGCACAGGTCTTGTAAAATTATGTGAAACAGCCTGTATGTGACTGAGTCTGTAGATTTTCAACAGATTTTACTACCATAAGTAAGTCCTAGGTAGATAAATAAATGATTTAAATTGTACATCATAACAGCAACAAAAAATGGTAGAAAAATTAAACCTAGGTTTTGAATTATTAACTCGTGTGGTCATCGATAACATGACGTTATCAATTGGGTCTTGGGGTAATAATTCGTTCCAAAGAATTTGAATTTCTTATTGTTCTTATTGGGGCTGAGCTAAAATTTGTATAGAAAAGCAAAGTCGAGTGAGTTGGTATAAATAACTGTTTTTATCACTAGAAACTCAAAGAAAACAATTAAAGAATTACAAACTTGTTCGAGATAAAGGGTTGAAATTTTACACACAAAGTTGTGCCTCAGACAAACTTGTTTATAAAAAAAAAATGTTAGAATAAATGTGACGTGTTCATTGTGTTATATTTCTTATGTCAGTTAGTATATCTTTCGATGGGTGCCGGTGAATTGCGCTCACTTCAACCACGGCATTTTAATCCCTACAGTGGACTGCGCTCAGAAAATTTTTACTTACCTGCGTTGCGTTAATAGCAATGTGAACTGCGCTCAGATCGGTCGATATGTCTCAGCGTGATGTAAAGAATTAAATTATTAAAAATTAAATTCCCGGGCTAATGAAAATAGGGATGAATCAGTTACAAAAAAGTACTTTGTATTTCGAAATAAACAAAAACGAAATAGGTTATTTATTATTTACATTTACTGAACACAAATATGTATGGTGCTCCCTAAAACTTCCAAGCACCAGCCCATGGGTGGGTACACCGTTGTGATGCTACTGAGTGCAGTTCACCTTAAGGATTAGCGACCCTTATTAGTCTTATTATACCTGTTTCTAAAACTGAGCGCAATCACCCTGCTCCCTTTCGATCGCGTTATTTAATTATCACGTGTCACATTCAAAAAAAAAGAAATAAAATTTGAGTGAAAACGAGTGCGAATGTGCAATTACTTTGGATGACCAGGCGATGTGTTTGAGTTGGTTTCTATTGGTTCTGGTATTACGAACTTTCTATAAAATAAACACACGATCACATTATTAAAGTCGCTAAATAGACGCGCGAAATCGGGTCCACGAAAAAGGAAATTTCACGAAATTACAGAAATTTTTTATTCATTCGTAGAAATTTCGGAGTAAATTAAATGTTCCTAACTTTAACACATTTAAAATTCAAACACATTTTAAAGATATTGACATAAAAACATAATGAGAGTTTCTAATGAATATTCATATAATATTTAACCGTAAAATGTGACCGCTAAAAATTATAAAAAACAGATTATGTGAGAACGCTTTGGGGCATTTACAAAAAACATTAACAACAAATCAGACGAACATTTTTTGGTAAACATAATTATTTCATCAAAATTGCCCTCAAAACGTCGTAATAATTACATGTTTATAATTTTGTCTTGCGATTACAATCACATGTAAAATAGGGTGMTACAATAAAGACGAAAAGAAATTCAACAATTTTCAGGAAGCAAYAAACTTGAATCAGCTATAGTTTATGAAAGCTGTTTCAAAATGGAGACWTGGGCCTACGTGACGTTTTGAATGTCCATRTAATTACCGTCCCATTTATCTCATAACGAGAATTTATGATAGTTCCATGTTACGTAAAATGTTGCAACAAGACGTTTAACTATTCAAAATTGATTCTGGAAAGTCTCAAATGGCAATTTTTGAAAATTTCCATGTGTGGTCTAATTGAGTTACAGTTCTATTTCGGTAATGTGCTCTAAACTCAAAAATAAATAAACACAAGTAGTGTGTAAACCGAGAATGAGAAACCCAATAAGAAGCTGATAAGAGTTTATTTTTAGAAGTTCGGAAACAGTGGCGTTGTTGTGTGTTTATGGTAATTATTTTTCTATCGATACCATAACAAAGTCTCGTRACTAGCTGAAAAGTTCCAAGTGACAATGCATTTTTCCATGCGAGTACAAACAGAGATAAATTAACAAAAAAATGCACATATGCATGTCGCATTATCGCATTATCGCGTTTTCTTGTAACTTTATATCCATTCAACATTCCACAATAGCATTTTCCTGAATCCAATTCACTTCCACATTGGTGGTTATCGAGGTTGGGCGTGGGTCGGCCGCCTTCTTTCCRCTTGGAGTTATTTAAATTAGATCTACCCTCTGACGTCGCAAAATATTTGACCAAATAAATCTCCGCAATTATTTCTGTCGTCTCCGAAACGACGTTGCAATTACCGTCTCGTTCAAATGCATTGTCGTGACGCATAATAGGCGTTTTCATCTTGTGATTTTGTTATGCTAATGGCTATTGTTGGAATTTTTTTATTAAACGCTGTACCTTCCGTAGGAGGCGCAACATAACCGATTTCGAAACATCTCTCTTATCGACAACACGTGTTGAGTAGAATTTTTTCAAAGGAAACGAAATTGCTGAAGTTAAAATTATACGCAAAAGTTTATCTTTTGAGTGGTCAATTGAAGGAGCTTTATCACAAGACGCGACTTGCGGCCCCCTGTTGTTGTTTACAAAGTATAAATATAAATTGTGTTAAATTTTATAACCTTGGCACTGAGATGACAACGAAATCAGTTCAATTCTTTTGTTTGTTCGAAAGAAGTGAGATTTTTAGCAAATTCAGACTTGTACATCGAAATATACAGAATTTTGATCTTTTATCGCCAACGATTAAAATTATAAACAAATTAATTTATCAATTCATAAACTWTTGAACTCCATTCATTCTAAAAACTAAAAGGAAAAATTTTGCTGCAACAGAAATTTTGGGAGAAATTGTATGAACAATATTTTTATTGAAAAAAAACTTTTTAGTCGAACATCTCACAAACTAAGGGCTTTTGATTTTATGTCTTATGCTTATTTTTGATCATAGAACCAACCCTGAAGTTTGTCTGTGGATTTCTGACCTGTATGTGTAAGGTTTAATAAGATACAACAGTAATCATATTCATCGATTTCAAAATTACTTAAAAAAATAATAATAATGAATGCATTGTTCTTTCAATATTATCAGTTTCGGTGATGTGGAATCATGGACTTTGACAACGCAAAAGATTAAAAAACTACTTTTCAAAATTTTAAATTAAAAAAAAAAGGAGCTCAAATGAAAATCACTTCTAGAACATCTAAAGCGTCGACATTTGAACTTTAACCTCTCTAAAATAATTCAAACATTGCTAATTTAATAGTACGATGGTATAAAGACTTCCCAGGTCGTGCCCTTTAGAGTGAGGTACTATTTTAAGAATTCTACAGTTAAAGATAAAAAACTGAAAAAGTTTTGATTAATTTGTACCATAGAGAGCTATCAAGTCATGTATCAATCGTCGCCCCCTGACTCCCAATTTATCTCAAACAAAAATTGATTTTTTTTTCACTTTATTTTTACTGCAATGGAGCCTCTCGGGATCAGGCATTAAACAGTGAATCTCCGCAAATAGCTCTGATGAAGATAAAGGACTAACACGCCGTTGCAGCATCATTAAATAAATTCGGAACAATTTATTTACAAAATTGAAACGACCAAGTGACGATTACGCATCATCATCTTAGTCATTACGTTTTTAGTCATAAGGCGCCATACGTGATCACTTCGAATAAGCAATATGGATGGTTCAAGATTGCACGAATGTACTCGTGAAAAGAAACGACGAAGTTTATCATTTGGTGCACTTATTGGCAGTGTTGCGCGTTGAACCATATAATATTGAACTAACCCACCAACACGAATCATATTAATAGAACGCGTGATAAGATAAATGAGTACAAAGTGAAATCCTAGGTCATTACTTTAGCAGTTTTAAATATAGATCTGAATATAAAAACAGTAATTTTACTAACAAATGCCGGAAAATCGATGCAGTTTTTTCAATTAAAGTAACAACGGCGGTGTTGCATTCATAACCGATTTGGACTAAGGCCAGAATTTCTTTAGACGCGTATTATCATCGTCCATCCGAGACAGGTGTAACCTTGAATACCGCGGCTTTTACATTGGATAAAAATAAGGATTCGGGGGGACTCAACCTTCCCCCTAATTATACCAACGCTCTTAAAATATCCCCACCCTTATAAAACTAGACTGATTTATCTGAAAATTTGATAAATGTGTTCTTTATAGTCTCAGCTGTCACCTCAATAAAAAAATACTGCTG